CAGCCATGGCATTTCCCCCCATCCACGTGCCACGGCCACCTCACTCCCTGTCCCTGCTTGCTTGAGAAATTGGACTTTCCCTCTTCTCGGACAAGTTCTCACTAAGCTATGGATATAAGAGGAAATTGAAGATGGTAAAAATATATAAAAATGTAAGACAAAGTAAAATTAAATAAGAAAACCAATAGCTTCATGCAGCTGGATTTACAGGTTTTAAAAGCAGGCAAACATAAGGCACCGAAACAGAAGAATGGAGTAACTTAAAAGTCTTGAAAACTATCTGTTTTCCTGAGCTTTTTTCTGATCCCAGTTTTTCTCTATCTGTTTCACTGTATTATTAGCAAGCAACTTGTAAAATATGAAGACAGTTCAGTTTAGTGAAGTGCAATTCAACATCCAGTTACAAGATGCTTCACTGAGGAAGAGAACATCCTTCATGAGCACCCGTTCAACTGAGATACAACCCTCAGCATTGACTGCTGAGGCTGGATTTGGTCAATCCTCTGCTTAAACTTGTCAAGCGGTGTTTGGATTTGTTTTACCTTCTCCTTTGGTCAAAAGCTATAGTTTATGGACCGAGGCTGGTCATGGTAGTCACAAAAGACTCTTACTTAGTTCAGTTTTTCATATGAAAAAATATGGATTTTTTTTTTTTTTTATAACATGTTTCTTTTTCTTTATTCTACAGAGACCTAAGATTTAATAGGATTAAAGAAATCCAGCCTGGAGAGTTTAGACGGCTTAAAAACCTGAATACACTGTAAGTTCTTTTTTAACCCTAAGGCCTTTTCCTCTTTTGATTTAGTATGATTAATTTGATCATGTGCCAAATTTGCTCACTTTTCAAAACTAAGTAGTCTCACAGATTTCAGCTGTAGCATTAAACCAGGTGAGAGAGCTAGGTTTAGGCCTAAAGTGTTTGAAAGAAAACCAGGTATATGCCTATTAAACTAAAAAGGAAGTTATTTACATCCTGTTTTATTAACATTCTTTAATTGGAAAGATGAAAAATACAGAACTTTACTATGTATTTTTTTCCAAATCGTGCTAAATTACTTTGGTGGAGTATAATAAACCATGGAGTTACAACAAAGCTGTTCAAAGGCTCAGATGTGAAAATGTGTTGCAGTTACAAAATATTTGACAGACTCTATAACGTTTTGAAATTTCCTATTCTAATGTGCTCGCCAGGACTGCCAGAAGTTGGAAGGTTTTTATTCTTACTGACCTTCCTTTTAAAGATGTCTCTGTTACCATCTACGTTTGTGAAGAGAAGACCATGTTTTCTAGAAGACTTTTTACAAACCCATAATGCCGATAGTATGCATATTATAGTTTGTCGTTCCTTCAAACATCACTTTTGAACAGATGCATGCATGTTTTTCTACTCTGTCAGCAGACATGAGGAGGAATTACGGTGGATAGTTGTTCTTACTTTTAAATGTATGCAATTTATGATTGCAAATTTGACTGTTTTCTAGAACACAAGTAGTGCATGAACTGAAATAGAATACAGTGATACTGGTGGGCTTTGGATCATTACTATCTATTTATCCTGCAAGCACATGACAAAAATGTATTGAGACATCTTGTACTGTATATTCATACCAGAAGAAATGATAGGACTTTCCCCAAAAAGTATATTGCCCGAATTTGTGCCACCAAGATGTTTTTACTAGCTGTCCCTACTCCCAGTCACCTTTGATCATACCTCTGTTTGCAGTTGATCCCCAGTTTTAAATTACAGTTTTTGTCAGATAATCCAGCCTCAAGTTTCATCTGTTCAAATCACTGATCTGAGATCCACAAGTCCCAAATAAAGACAGGATTCATTAAGTTTGGGTTCCCTTCTCTTCATAAAACCACTGCAAGAGAGATAAGTGCAAATCTGTGAATACAGACAGTTGTGTTCCTTTATGACGTGAAGGGCCCAATACACAGAATATCACTAAGGAACATGTGGAAAAAGTCACTTCAGTGCACCTGTAATGGCAAAACTTTGTTAATGTCAATTTTACCAATTTCAACTCTCTGTGTTGACTTGGGACCAGGATGGTGGTTTTTTTTTTTGCTTCATCTTCATCTCAGATTCCCACAGAAAGTCACATAGTTTCAGTTTTTGGAGTCTTTAAATTTTTTATGTCTAATTTTTTTTTAGTTTTCTCCTGCAAGGTAGTGACTGAGCAACTGTAAGCATGTCACTACTTCTCTTCTAACAGTTACTTCTAGGGAAAAACCTTTTTGTTTTGTTATTTTTTTATGTTTTCCTTTTAATGCTACATTTAGATCTGCTGTTACCCATTTTGGTTTTTTTCTAACTGTTCATGTCTGTTAACATAAACAGATGTTTTTCTTTTATAGGCTTTTAAACAACAATCAAATTAAAAGAATACCTAGTGGTGCATTTGAGGACCTTGAAAATCTGAAATATCTGTAAGTTAATTGAATGTTGTTTTTTTGCATCAATATGTAATTGAACTTCTTCAATAGGAAAGTGTTTTAATCTCAGATTGTGTTTCAGTCTGACTCACTCTCTGCTGCTTTGAAAATCTGTCAAATTAATTTATGGGGGGGGGTAACTGTGAATCTGTGTTTCTATAAGTTCATGCTTTGAGATTTGCTAATATAAGACTGTGATATCTGTAGGCAGTAGATTTTAAAGGACTTAATAGTTGCTGTTTACTATATGCAACTTAAAAGGTAACTTAAAAAGGGATATGTTTAAAGGTTTAGGAGGTCACCTCTTTAAAGGTTCACTGAAATACGCAAGTTCATACCAGTACTTTTTAAGTTTGTGTTTTGAAAAGTGGTTTAAAAGCAGCTAGTCCAAGATTTGTGTTTACAGAAGTTTGTAACTTATATAAGCTTTTTAACTACTAAATTATTCACTGGATGCAGTGTAAATTTGTAAGAGAAAAATCAAGTCAAACACAAAATAGAACAGTACCTGTATGATTGGCCGTAAGGTCTGTGTCTTCAGACAACTGTGTATTTTAATAATAACTCCTATTTTGAACAAACATACCAAGTATATTAATTGTCCGAATGAACAAAAGGCATCAAAATTTGTTATTTTCATCTGCAAAAAAGACCTAAGTTGAATAGTAAGTTGTAATGGCTTCTCAGCTCTAGTCTCTGGAGTCCATCTTACATAGTGTCACATAGAAAAGTTTCACTCTATTGTCTTGGAGTATTGATCATTGCTTGAGTACTGTGCAGAAAAAAAATGGTCACTTTGAGATTTCATTGTTTTGGAAACAATTCTGAAACTTAATTTCCTAGCTAGTTTTCAAGAATGCATCCTGAATAGCTCTAAGGAGGTGGGAAAAGGGAGGGAAATAAAAATCACAGGAATTTGTGCAGACCCATTATCTGGTTTTCCATCCTGTGTTTGATTACATTTAACGGTCTCATTTTTATGTGTATTGGCTTTCAGTAATAAAATTCTTTAAACTATATACAACTGGAGAAAAAAGAATACTGAACAGACTATCTCCAATGAATTGTTAAAGTCCATGATGATTGTGTTTGTTATACATTGTGTTGTATAGTGGATCTGGTAATGCAGTATGTAAGGTCTACTAATTGAGGATGGCTAAGCTTCTTTCTATAGTCAGCAACTGTGCAGAAATGCTGCTTGGTTCTTACTAGTTCTTTATTTTCACATGCTTGCCTTTGCCTAGCTGTAGTAAACCTGAGATGAAACTCAACTACGCACTCTGTTTAGTTCAACAGAAGAGTGAAAAGAGAGAACTGAACTATCATTTGTTTGTTTTCATATACATGTAGTAATGTTTATCTATATCTGTATTGTTGAGAGGAAGATATTTTCCTTTTCATCTTGTTCCCTGGAAAATTTTAATATAAAGTTCAATGTGGTAGTTCATTCAACTGCAGAGAGCTCTACTTTAAAACCATCCTGTTTTGCTAAAATAGACTATAAGATCTCTTTGCCTATTTCAATGGCTGTGATATAAATGTTTAGACTTAAATTGTACAGCCCTAAAGTTATGCAAATGCTAGTACTGGTCAGATATCAATACAATTTCTGCTCCAAACTGAAGTAGAAAACAAGGGGGGTGGAAACTGTATTATTTATTAAAAGTAAAAAATACTGTTCAGAACTGAATACTATATAGCAAAATCATCTGGAATATTTGAGGCTTTGAATGGGCTGATCCTATGGATATTTGTAAACCTAACTGCTACTGTCCTATTTCATTTTCTCAAGCCCTGGGATTTTCAAATGCTTCTTTGTACTGTTTGTTTCTGAAATTGAGCTTAAGAGATTTATGAGGTGTATATGTTTTCAGAATTGTCTGTCTGGAGAACAAATTTTGACAGAGTAATAATATATTCAGAGTTTTTTATGCATTAAAATCATTCATTACTGTGAAAGTTGATTCTTACATTATAAAAAGAAAATTATGCACTTATGATTTTTGAATCTTAGTTTTTAGGATTATTTGTTTTCTTGTTCTTTATGTAATTGAAATTTTGACAGCAGTTTTGCGTGATCTTGCAGTGCTGTTTGTGGTAATAATTTGTCTTTGGATACATATACTAAAAGTTGTAAAGAAATAGATGCCATTATTATTTTGCTATGAAACCAAGAGGATAATTTTTCTTTCTGCCTTTCTGCCTGTCTGTCTTATTTCAGATACCTTAGTGTTGGCAATGTGGTTCTTTAATAAGGATCAGAAAGGCATTAGTAGCTTGGACTCCATCCATAATGTAGTTTCTTTCTGCACTTCAGTGATTCTGTATAATTTCTTTGGTCTTATGTTCCCCCTTCTGCAAAGGATAATGTAAACAGTCCTGCCTAAAATAGACTTGAAAAGTTGTCTTCATATGAGCAAAATAATTGGTAACTTGTCTGTGATTTGGTGCTCCCAATACAAGATGTATATGTATATGTATACATGATGTATATGGTACACTGAATATATTGAATTGAATTCCTGTGAGTTTTTCAGCTTACTGACTAGAGGTGGTAGTACAGAAAGATGAGAAAGAAAAGCTTCCCAGCCTTATAATATAGATGCAAGCAGATTTGTGGAAACTTAGTAGGATAATCCTTCCCAATCCTGAAAGCCAACAGTTTATTCTCCGAGACAGAAGATAATTGGGAACTGAAGATAGAGACGTATTACAGTTTTAACATGTAGGATATTAGAAGATTTGCAATTGGCAGTGGAAAAAATGAGGTTAAGATAAAAAGAAAGAATTTAGGGAGGAGATGGAAAAATATAAAATACAGATTAGCGATTACAAATAGCTGTCCAGATAAAGAGTGTGAAGGACGTGAAGGAAATAAAAATGGAGAATGAAAATTATTTCAGCAACAACACTGAGATGTTCACTTAGTAAGAATGGAGAGGTGAGGAATCAGACATGGCAACAGTGTGATAAGCAAATCATAAATAGAAATTAAGACTGTATGAAATGTATCAGTTCTGGAAATATTAAAAGGGAACATACAAGATTCCTTTTGCATTTGGTGAATGAAATAAGAATGGTAGAAGATACAGTGTAGGTTTGCCAAAGTGCAGAGCTGCTCACCTCACCTTTCCAGAAATGGGATTAGGTCACATTTCCTTCTGTGCTTTTTGCCACCGTTGCTGTCGTGGTCATGTTACTTTTCCTTTTGAATACCTCCTGTGATTCCAGATCTCATTTCTTTGCAACTCACATTGCTGATTCCACCAACTGTCTCTTTTATGTTTCTGTATAAATCTGTCTTTACTTGACAGGTTTTGCTCTACACTGCCTAATACTGCCATTACTTTGAACATTTTTTTTTCTCTTGTTCCAAACAAATATCACTAGATCTTGCTTTCCTTAAATCACATGACTTGCAAGACAGTCTATAAAACCCCAAAATTATCCTCATAGGGGATCTATCAAACTTTTTAATTAAAACTACTTTTTTCTAATTTTCTGGTAACTGGTCACCTATTTTTTTGTTCATTTCCCAAGTGTATGACCAGTACCTCTGGCTTCTATCAGCCTTGCTTGCATTTCTGGAAAGAGCTTTTTTTCTTTAACTCTTCTGAAAACAGTAGTTGCCAGAAAATAATTTAATGTCTTAGAGTATATCCCTTGTCATCTTAATCCACTGGTTATTCAGGCTTTGAAAAAGTCTAATGCTTCAGTTGTGTAATAGAGGTTTTAGGTAAATCAAATGATAAATTACTTTGTCCCTAATTATCCTTTAAATCAGTTTTCTGCTAATGTGACTGGGAAAAAACTTGGAATTTTTTTTTTTAATGCAGTATTTGCAAAGTTTCACTTGTTGGACACGGTAACATTTTAGAAAGACATAAATACTTCTTGTGATTGCTACTTAGTTGTATTTTGTATTCTGTCATCTCTCTCTTCATTAGGCAAATATATATTGTTTTATCTTTCTGTTAATATCCTCAGGGAAACTTCTACACAACTAAGTGAAAGTGTGGTTAACACACCTGTGATAGGACATATGTTTTTGTAGCCTTGGGTTGCTGGGGTTTCTCTGTGGAGGGGGAACATGATGGACTGAGGTCAGTTGAGTGTCCTGCAGCTTGAGCGTTTTCTGATCAACAAAGAAAAAGATACACTTTAAAGAATTCCAAATAAAATCCTGCCACAGTGGCTTGGTAGCAGCTCCAGAAGTGGACATGAAAGGCTACTCCATTCCCTGCAAGTATGGTGGTAAAAGTCTGCAAAACTACAAGGTCATGATCCCGGTCTTCCTCTAACCCACCCTTATTCTTAACTCTGCCCCACTTTGTCTACAGAAAGTAAATAAAAGTTACGTCAGTGATTCTGGTAAAACCTTTTTTTTTTTTTTTTTTTTTTTTTTAATTGGATTAATTCAAACTTCTTGAATGAAATTCTTCAAATACCCACAAGAGATATTCAGAAACCTTTTTTTTTTTTTTTTTTTTTTTAAAATTGGATTAATTCAAACTTCTTGAATGAAGTTCTTCAAATACCCACAAGAGAGAACTTAACAGAGGTCGGTTATTAAAAGCATCTTAGCCCACTCTGGTTCACTGGTCTGATCAGAAGTTTAGGACTTGGGAATAAGAGGAATTTCTAAACTGCCAAGTAGAGTGTATTAAGAAATGTAAATAACACTTTGGCTATTCGGTCTTTGAAATTTTCTAAGGACTGAGAAGAAATAGTGTATGTAAAATTCTCACTGGAAAATAAGATAGGAATTTAATATCATACAGAGAGGAAAATTAAGGAGAGACAAAATTGTAATGACTGTGATCCTCAAATGCATTGCTAATATTTGAATACCTGTGAAGTGATATTTTTTGCACATAAAAACCAATTCCACATGCAAAATGTGCAATGCACCTATTCTCTCTCTTGCTTTTAAATTATTCTAAAAGTTTTTACAGTCATTTCACATGATGGTATTTTGTTTTCCAGTTTAATGTGTTCAGAATTTTGAGCATTTAAAAAAAAATCACAAATTTTTGCTTATTAGTTATTCTGTTCTTGGAAGAACTCTGCTTTTTGTTCAGATGGATGTCTATGAATTAAGCACACCTGAGTATATATTAATGTGTTGGAATCTCAGCAAGCAATATATTGGAAAACTAAATTTAGACTCAAGGGAAAGATACTACTCCACATCGTCCCCCAAAGTTGTCATGAGGCAAACATCAGATGTCTACGACTTTTTTCCTTATTAGGGCCTATTGTGAAATGTTGCTCTTTGTCAAGTCCGTAAAAACTGCCACCAACTCCAGCAGAGCCAGTGTTTTATCTGTTGCATCAAAAGAAGTTTGCAATATTTCCAGTAAGTTACTGAAAATTGTAGTAATAGAAAAGCCAAAACCACCACTAATAAAATGCCTGCTAATAAAGCCATTCATGGTCCAAAGTCTCTTCATTCCTTTTTCATAGATATCCATGCCTGATTAACTGAGTTTCAAACCATTTGTCAGATAATTGTGAGAAAGTTCATACTGCAAACCTGTTCCTAACCTAACACAAAAAGAGAGTGGCTGACCCTGAACCCCAACAGTATTTTCATTTGCTGCCTCCATGCAGAAACTGCAGTCATAAGCTAAACTGTGTGATTTTTCTCCAACACCCTCTAACTAAACCATCCTTACTGTTTAAAAGCATGATGAACATGAGCACATACACTGATCCATCCTGATTTGTTTTTATTCTGTAAAAAAGGTACAGACAGCACGTGTGAGCATACTGGTACTCTGCATGTGTTTATTCTTTATATTATAGAGCATCAGTGGGGACCTAATGTCCATCTTCCACAGAGTGATGGAACAAATACACAATGCTGTTTTATGGATGCAATGCCAATATTCTAACTTGTATTTTTTTGTAAATATTCAAAAGGTAACACAGGCGGAGTTATAGAAATTCTCACTGTTTGTTCTCCATGTCCAGTAAAAAAAGACTAATCCCATCATAATTTGAATATTTGTACCAGTATCCAGATGAGATCTTTTAAAGAAAGTAAGAGGCCAATGGCATCCCTGGTATGTTCTGGTAAATGCATTTCTGATGCAGTTCTGTCCCATTAAGTTGAATTTATTTTGACTTTTGGCAAGCCCACCAAGAAACTGAGGGGCAAAGATACAGTAAGTAATAACAGTGAGCACCAGGCAGCCCAAAACACCCGGGCGACAGCCTCAGGGCCTACAAGGCCCCAGATTTATCTTTCCTGGCAAACGTTTGGGATGAAATCTCAATGACAAAGTATTTTTATGTGTATGTGTTTAGTTTTTGTTTTGTATTTTTTTTTCTAATATGTAGTTGAAAAACTGTCTTCATGTGTCAACTTAATTCTTCTTTTCCACCTTCATGTAGCTCTTGTTTGTGTACTAATATTACTGATTGTTTCTTGTTTCAGCTATTTGTACAAGAATGAAATCCAGTCAATTGACAGGCAAGCATTTAAAGGACTTGCCTCTCTAGAACAACTGTAAGTGCCTTTTCTCTTCTGTGCTGTCATCTCCATGGTTCCCCTGCAGAGGAGAAGTGCACGCCTTGATCCCTACCTCCTGCCTGCATGCTCTGCATGTCTGCACTCCCTGGGTTGTTAGGCAGAGAGCCCCATAATCATTTGCATGTGGAAAACCAAAATCAATCTCTGTGTCAAATTCCTCATTTCTATGTTCGTCTTTTATTTGTGATTTGTATTTCTGGTGTCCCTATACATTGTTACATAGCTTTGATGAAGAAGAAGCATTATTGTGGAAAATGTTGAAAACTAATGTGTATTGCATAGAAAGAGATTCTGATTTCATTTCTGTAGGTTTTATAACATTGCAATTCCTTTGACTGCAGCGTTTACTTTGTTTATGCCAGCATAACTAAAGCTGAATTAGTCTCTTGAACTTTAACCACTTTTGTTATATTTTAAAACAAGAGGAGATTTTAAAATTAAAACCTTACTATTACTGATATGTGTTAATCATTGCCATATACAGATGTTTAAAAAGTAAGAAAGTTTATTGTTTTTAATGTACGTTTCAGTAATGTCTTCTAGGAAGATTGATTACAATCCTACTCCTTTTCCTGTATAATGACCGAAGAATAATTTCTATTGAAAAAGAATGAAAAAATGCAGTCATTAGCAAAAACAATTGTATCGATTCCATTAAGTTTAACTATATTTCATTTTATAATCAGAAAGCATTGCTATACATGTATTGTGGTAATGTTTAGAAACACAGAAAGAGCTATAAATGCGTAGCTATTTACAGTTTGACTGCCAAGTAACAGTACTAAACGAATGAGTTTTGCAGCATGTAAATTTTGAGGGCTGAACATTTCTTCTAGGACCAACATAAATTTTGAAACTCCTGACAGTTATCAGTGTATTACACATTTTCTATATGTACCAGTTTCCTTGTTACTATAAACCTCTGGTAGGTATTAGTGGACACAGTGTGTAACTGAAATCAAATGACACTTCAGATGGGTACAAAATCATACAAGCTCATTTCAGAGAGCAATAGATGCCTTTTGAAGGAAGAGCTTGTATACAAAACAAAAGTGATAATTATAAAACATTTATAAATATGTCATTTGTTTCCTTAATGCCTTTCTCTTCCTCTTCCTCCTACTCTAGAAGTGATTACTGCAGCATATTGACAGCAACTGGTAGGGCTTACTTGCATGCTAATAGCATTTCTTATTTTCTATGTAGAACTTTAAACATAGAGGCCCATTTATTGAAATACTAATTCTTCAAAAATAATATTCTTCCACAAGCCATGAGCCTGATACGCTGAAAGTGGCAACAGTTGTCCTTTTTTTCTTTTGTGCTTTTTCCTGTTGATCTATGTTATGACTGAAAAACATAAATCACTTTGGAATATTAACACCTTCTGAATGTACTTTGCCACTAGGTTGCAGTTAAGTCTCTCTGCCTGCAGTGATATCACACTGCATCAGCTTAAGCTCTAACTTGAGACATCAACATAATTCTGTATGAAATTATGTTTTAAACAAGGGTTGAGTCTCATCTTTAGCTGGGAAATAGGAAACAGAGCCTGGCACAGTCATCGCTCAGTGACTGTCCTTGCATGGTGTCACCGGTTGCCACAAGCCATACCTACAGCTGGCCTGGTGATCGCCGGGGAGGGTTGGCCCTGCCGGGTGCACATCAGAAAGTTCACTTCTTTTAGAGCTCTTAGATCTTAAAAAGAAGGCTCGCCAGGTGGGAAAATGGGAGCACAGGAAGCCAGTGGCAGGCCTGGAAATAAATTTAATGGAGGGGATTCATTGAGATTTAGAGTTTATGAGACATTTGTCGTTTATGCATCGTTAGCATAAAACCAGGTTCTGACTCTACAGGGTCTGCTTCATCACATTCTCTGTGTTTGCAAGCAAAAGTTAGTCTTTGTGAACAGGTTCCCAAGTCCTCTTAACTTCAGTTCAGGACTGTATCGATTACGCAGTTGATGTTTCCGCATTTGAGGCTTCTGTGGCCTCAAGTCATCAAACACGTTCTGCTCCTGGATGTGTTGGCTCAGCCAAATACTCTTTTCAGTGCTCATCAGAGTTCTCAGAAGTAGATGCTGTGGCCCACATCTTGGGAAGGCTTGATTCGTAGTAATTCTTCTACTCTTCTACGAATACTAATACCTACTAATGAAGCAGAATGAAACTGATAGTTGCTTTTTTAAAAAAAAACTGAACAGCAAAGCACACACTTTTCTGTTTTTTCATGGGGGTTGTTTTTGATTGTTGTTCTTTGAGAGAAACTGTAAATGTAGTTTGATTTAGGAGGCCTGTTGCATGTATAAGGAAAGGAAAAAAAAAAAGTATTTACTGTGGCTGGCAGGATCCTTCTTAAACCTCCACAGCAGAATTCTTAGCTGCTGATGTAGTAGAAATATCTTTTTCCTCAGAAATTTCTGCCAAGGGAATAAGACCTTTGAACCAGATCTTGAAACTTGTCCTAGAGTAAGTTCTGAAAAAACTTGGCAGTTTTAGATACTCAAACACACTGAGCCATACATATTTCGTCACCTAACTCTTCAGTCATGGCAGGGCATGAAGGGAAAAAGTCAGCTGATGAAAAGTAGCCGCTTAGTACCAGGTTAGACCCTGTTAAATCTGCAAGACATATGTTTGCATCTGGCAAATGCAACACAAAGCTGCAGGGAACTTGCGTTTTTTTCAGAGTAGCAGCCAGAAGGCAGGCAGAGCACCCGAAAGGCAGCGAAAGCTGCCTCTACATGCTTGCGCTTAGACAGCCTGCCTGTGCTCAAAGAACTGAATCCCACCTGAAATGTCACAGATACTTGGCTTGGGAGGTCGTGAGTTTGCTGTATCTGCATTCCAAGCTTGAGGTCCAAATGCAGTCTATTTCCAGATGTGTGTATGCTGTTTTTCTTCCAAATACCTATTATATTTTTTGAGATCTCAGCTTAAGAGCTATATGTATCAGGGACAAAAAGTATTCTTTGCAGTCCTTAACTACTGGGATCCCCAAATACGAATGAAATTATTTAAATAATCTTTTCACCTAATCTTAGTAGAATACTAATTACACTTTTCTTTTAACTTCCATATTAACACACTAATTTTGCTCTTTATAAGCTGTTTAATATTAGAGTTATGCTGTAGTTTGTGTACACGTGTACGTATTTTGGGGGAAATTAATAGATAAAAACATTGTCATACATATAGTGATGCAGCTTGTTATATTAATTTTATTTCCCTCAATTCAATTTTCAGGAGCTTTGAAATGTTGCTATGAATTTTATAAAGTTTTATATAACAAAGAGTTCCTCATTTTTGCATAACTGTATGTGAGCAGTCATGCACATTCAACACAGAGCCTGATTAAAGTCTCATTGCTGCTGAAAATACCTATGGTAAGGAATAATGAAAGAGAATTAATTAACAGACAAACAAACAAACCAACCCAAAAGGTATGAAAGGGGCTTTGAGAAGTACATCCTTATTATTCTAAAATAAGATCAGCTGGGGACAACAAACGTAGATTGCTGGAAGCAGATACTTATCTAGCCTTATTTTAAAAGGCTTTAAAGAGAGGATTCCATATTCTTCTTAAGTATCCTGTTCCAATATTTTATATAGTTACTGTAACGTCTTATTTAAATCTCTTTCCTTGTGGTTTAAGCCTGTTAACTTCTTGTCATACCCCTGGGCAGGGAAAACTGTTTGATAAATGTGAGGAAAATGTGTTTGTTCATTCTCTTTCAAATAATCAAAATGACAAACATGCTATTTAAATATTCATAAGAACATAGATTATACTCAACTAATGGATTTTAAGTACTTCCCCAAAGATGTGGAGATACTATTAGAAATGAACAATTGGCATATGTGATAAAAGTAATCCTCTACAAAAATGTTACGCTCCAGAAGATATAATCCTAACTTCAGTGCTGTGAAAAATGCCACTGGGACTGAATTTTACTGTAAATGTTCATCCTCCAAGATTAATAATAACAAAGAGCAAATCTGTACCATGCTTATTAGCTTGAATCTTTCTTCCTCTAGGTGTGTTTGGTTGGGACTTTTTTTTTCCTTTTAGGTATTTCCTTTCCTTCTGTTTCATCCCCGACAGTGAATTCAGAATTAAAGAAGGAAGACACAGGGATATTTAAAAATCACTCTTGCATGCTATTTCTTTAAATTTCCATTATGGAAGTCTTTTTAATATCACATTCATTACATCATACTAGATGAGTACTAAGAGCGTTTTATACTCTGAACATAAAAGATGTCTATAAGGACATGTCAGTGTGAGATTATTTCCTGAATATGATTACCTTTAAAATGAATTTCTAGTCCAGGAAATCTCCTATTAATTAAAATATTAAAAATCCTTTAAAAAAGCATTAATGTGGTACATAGAAGAAAAGAATGTAAGGGATATGCCTAAATGATAAAATGTGATTAAAGTGTAGGTCATAAAGCCAAGGACTTTTTATTCTTTTTATTATAGACTTACAATGCAATCTGGTTTCTGCATCTATTTTTTTTAGAATGACACTTGTAGCTGATTACTTTGTCCACATATTTAATACCTTGTTCTGTTCATAAATTGCCTGACAAGTTGCTCAGGACTTTTTTGAGGTCATAATTTAAACACCTGCAAAACCCAGCAAACTTGTCATATGAAGCAGTTAAGAGTATTTTCCAATGGGACTTTCATGGATTGATTTTTTGAGCTACTTTAGGCAACATAATTTCTGATGAGGGAAAGTTAACTGTTATAATGTGCTTCAGTGCCTGAATTATTGTAGTTGTATCTGTGATGATTTGAGGTTGTAAACAAGACAAGGTTTATAACAGAAGTATTGTTTTAATTAGACTAATTAATTTGGTTGGAAAAACAAGATGAGTTTTCAGGCACATAAAGTATTCTTTACATCTTCAATTATAGTAGTCCTGAATACTAAACAGCAGTTATGAGCTGTTGTTTCGAGTTTAATGATGTATACATCACTTAAACCATCTGAGAGAGGTGTCCTTTCTTTTTGTCTCTTTGCTAATCTCTCCTCTGATCCATGGACCTGAAGAAGGGGTTGTGTGCCTCAGTGTGCCTGCTTTTACCAACGTTATTTGTTGTTCTAGCAGGAGGTATTACTTGTACCTATAAATCTTGCCTTGTCAATGCCAAAGAAGTACAAGAGATTAATTTATTGGGAAGATAAGGAGATACATTTGCAAGGTGCTCAGGAATCATAAAAATGTGAGAAGAATTAACAAAGTTAAAAAGGAAAAAGTCCCTGTTGGCTGCACAAGAAGTAGCGTATGTAGTTTTTTCCCAAATCAAAGCTGCTTCAGAAGAAGTTACAAACCCTCGAGTTGTGTCTGGTTTTTCTTCTCATCCTCTTTCACTGCAGTGATCCTCAACTTGCCTTGACCTCTCCCAGATGCTGCTGATGCTGGGGGGGTGGGCAAGCAGAGCCCTGGCTCCTGGCGAGCTGCGCCTGCCCACCTCG